CCTGGGTTCCCTGAATAGCCCATGAAAATAAGGCAGCATTTTAGGGATGCTCCCACCACAGCAGATGGGATTGCTGCTGGAGTCCCTCTCCACCACTGTGGGGATGGATCCAGGCACATTTACACACAAAATCTTCATTTTCTTATCTACCTGAGGGTGTGGCAGCACAGTGAGCTGATGGGACACAGTCCTGCCACAAAGGTGCCTTTGTGAGGGGTGAGTGGCACCCAGGACTCTCTGGTGTAGTGGGTGATTTAGAACAGCTCTGTTATTAAAAACCACAGTAGGAGTTTGGCTGTGACTTAAGGAAGAGAAATCAACTTCAATTCCTCTAGTCAATACCAGCATAAACACAGGATTCCTGGAGTATTGACTAATCCTGGGTAGGATTTGCCAGCAAACCTGGAGAGAATTCAGCCACTTGGTTTTACGGCTTGCTATTTTCACATAATATGGAGAAATGCTTGTCATGTTTATTTACTCTGCATCACAGACCTGATGGTGGGCAGGGCCCTGCCTTCCACAGCCCCAGGGGAGTGAGCACATCCCACCACCCTGCCAAGGTGCTCCTCACCAGGGGAAAGTGCAAGGGAGCGTTTGCAACATCATACATGGAATTAATAACATCGTGAGCCTCTCACACAAATGGAAATCAAATAGATGACCTTGAAAGAGTGTGTAGAGAGCATGGCAATGGATGTCCTTCGTTTCCGTCCCCTTCACACCTGAGGCTCTTTGGCAGGTCCCTTCAAAGGCATTGCATGAAGAAATGTAGGCAGAAATAAAGCTGAGGAGCCACTTGGGCAAAGAGCTGTTTAGTGTGCAGAGTTATTTACTCTATCAATCATCCAAACTGTGATCAGGCTTCATAAAACATAACAAACAAGGGCTCTGGAGGGATGGGTGAGCTGCAGCCACGCAGGCTGGGCTGATCCACATGGAACAGAGATCCTGCCAAAGGGTGAGGAGGGCCAGAGGAGTTCCCTGAGTGCTGCCCTCACAAATGAGCAACTTGGAGCTGCTGGAGCTGTGGCAGTTTCTGGAGGAGCAGGGCCTGCTGCCATGTGTTTTAATAAATGGGATCACACCAGCTGTCTGCGCAAATCAAACATTAGCATGTGTCAGACACTCTCCCGGCACTTGCTGTGGCTTGGGGGACATTTTGCAGCAGAGCCATCCAAGCACAGGCTGTGGGAAAACACCTTCCCATTGGGAATTTTGGGGTGCAGGAGCTGCCCACACCCAGCTCCCCTTGTGCCCAGCCCAGGCTCAGATGAAATCCTGGGTTTGAGGAAATTTTGGTTTGAGGAGCTCTGTGTGTGTGGGGACTGACAGTGCACCAGGATTGGAGGATGAAATCCTGGGATTTTGGTTTGAGGAGCTCTGTGTGTGTGGGGACTGACAGTGCACCAGGATTGATGGATGAAATCCTGGGATTTTGGTTTGAGGAGCTCTGTGTGTGTGGGGACTGACAGTGCACCAGGATTGGAGGATGAAATCCTGGGATTTTGGTTTGAGGAGCTCTGTGTGTGTGTGGGGACTGACAGTGCACCAGGATTGGAGATGTTTCCTTCAGCTTCCCCTCTTCCCCAGGTTCTGCTGTGAACCTCTCCAGAAAGCAGGGATGAAGGTAAGAAAGCAATAAGCAGGAAAATCAATTTGCACTGCATCTGGCCAGTAAAATTCAGAGCTTTTTGAAAATCAGGGCTGAGGCTGGGCAATGCTAATGGCACACATGGTAGAGCAGGACACTCAGTGGGATCCTGGTTTGAGGAATTTGGTTCCAGAGCCAGCCCCACAGGCACAGACTCAAAAGTGAACAGGGCAAAGCTCTCATCCTGCCCCAGAACTCTCATTTCTATTGCTGCCACAACAGGGAGCTTTAAAACCTCCTCCAGCTGAAGCGCCATGAAAACATGAATTTACTCGTATGGCTTTAAGAGGTGTTTAATCTATGTGGAAAAAGAACCTAAAACTGGCAGCAGTGCTTTTCAGGGGATGTCTGCCAGCTAAAGAGTTTACTAGACCTAAATAATGTGGCTATAATGGACTCACTCCTGGTACCAGATCCCATGTGGATGCCAAAATCCAAAGCAGACATCCCTGACTGGCAGAAGCAACATGAAAACTTGGCAGTGGAGAATGTGTAATAAACCAGATCCACAGGCTGATTAAAGCAGCTGCAAGGACAGCGATGAGCAAAGCTGGGAAATTGTTCTAAGAATTCTATTTTAGAGGCCACACAGGGCTTTGTGCCTCAATGGCAAGAGGTGAGATGTGCCTGGTGTAGGGATGGTGGGGACACACAGTGTCACCCTGCAGAATGTCTCACCTGCTGCTCTTCCTGATTATGTGCTGCCCTGAACAATCTGTAATTGCTGGAAGAATATCACTCATTACCTCTTAGAGCTGTTGTGGAGCTTAAGTGGTGCAGGTTAATACGTGCAAGAACCAAACTTCCTGAATGTTGTTTGAATAATTACTTTTTTAACATTTTTCTTACAAGGAATCCTGATTGTTCACATTCAGTCTAAGTCCACTCAGGAATGTCCACTAAAATCTGAATGCTCAAAGCCAACACAGAGGAACTTTTTTCAAAATCAGAGATGTTAAATTACTATAGTCAAATAGGCCCTTAAAATTCAGAATATTCTGTGATTCTGTGAAATACCTTTTCCAGGAAGCTTGTTCCAGTTCAGAGAGGATCCTTCTCCTGTAATGACCCCAGCAAAACCATAGCTCACACTGGTCTCTGAGGGCACAAATGGTTACAATGCCCTGTTCTGGGACAGAACTTGAACTTCTTTCAATCAGCCAACAAATAAAACCACTTGGAGAGCTAATGGCTTCCAAAAAAGAAATGCCAGTTTGCTTTAGACAGTTTGCCAAACAGGAATAGAAGTGAAATGTGTTGAGTGATTTATTACAAGTGATTTGCCAGCTCGAGCAAGTGCATCACTGCTCTCCTTAATTTAAAGACAGAAAATGAATTCAAAGAGATGCAGAGATGCTCTGAAGCAGCTTGAACCCACCACGAAGGACCAGGGCTCCAGATTGCCACCCAGCAAGACCTCTGCACGTCACACTGCACATCAGCACTGCCCTTTCTCTCCTGGCTCTTCCATCATTTGTCTTTTTTTAAACCTCGGCGCAGCTCGGGCCGGCTCACACGCTGTGCCACGGTTTCCATTAACGCACTTCAAACCTGACTTGCAGCTGCTTTGCTTATTCACTCCAGAGCCCTCCCCGGCCCAGGGCCCTGCCTCACGTTGTGTGATGCTTCCCTGTGCTCAGAGGAACGGAGTGAAACCATGGAAAAACCTTCCTGGCTTGGCAAAGCCACTTCTGCAGCCCGATCCCCCGGGAAGGAACAGATTGGCACAGTTTGGGGTTTGGTTCTTCCTTCTCCCCCAACAGCTGCCTCTTTCTTTTAACTTTTAAATGAATCCACTAGTTAATTAAATATATATATATATGCAGAAAAGCTCACAGGTGAACTTCACATACACATAATATATTCATGTCTTCCTACTCCAGACTGGCTGATGGGATAAGGTATAACCTGAATAATTGCAAGTGTAAGGTGCACTGAGAATTGTTTAAAGTGTAATCTCCAAAGATATGGCAAGGAAATAATCCTCTGGTTTTAGCCCTACCATGGTAACAACGAGCATCAGTTTAATCCTAGAAGGAAGATGAGTGGAAATAATGCATTTCAGTCCCATTGTTCTCAAATCAGATGGCTCAGTCTCCTCAGAGAGCAGAGAATTTGGGTTAAGTACACTGGGCTGCCACTGACAAAACCTTCCAGGCATCTACAGGAGAAATGCAGCCCTCACCACCTCAGATGAAAGTTAGGGATCATGATAAAATGCAGAAAAAATCCAGGGCTTCTATCAGGGCTTGATTTTGGTTTACTTGAACAGTACAGAGGGGAAACTGGGAGAGTTATGTCTAAACATTTACCGACTCTGGTCTTAAATCTAAATGCACATATCCTCACCTACTTTTAGTGGCAAGGAATGGTTCTGATTCATTTCCATTTAAGTTCCCTCCCTTCAAGTGTGGGAACATCCCAGCGACTTCAGTGCCCATGCAGCTTTAAATTCCAGCTGCCCGCTGATTAACCCCACCTGAAATTCATGTTCCAAATAAAAAATTGAGCAGCTATCACATGCAAGCCTGGCAGCCAAGGGGCTATGGAGAGTGGTGTCTTGCTCTCTTCTGTCCCTCCTTGCGTGTCTCTTACATTTTTCAAGCTCAATGCTCCAGTAAACAAATGCCTCAGCCCGCCGGAGCACTGGAGCACGGCAAGTGTTGGTGCTGAAATCCCTTCCACGCATGGGCGTGTTGGATTTAGCACCGTGTGGAGAGCAGCAAAGCCCTGCTGAAGTCTGGAGGGGCTGCTAAAACCAGCCACGGATTTCCCCAAAACTGCAAAAATAGCAGTTTGGCTTCCATCATGCAGCTCCTTTTCAGAAGCCTGTGCTACACCCTGTGTCCGAAACTTTCTGAAATTAGGAGCTGCCACTACACTGAGGGAAAGGGCTCTGGATCAACATAAAGAACGGAGAGAGATGGTTTTATTTCCCCTGAACTTGCTGGCCGCTTTCCAGCAGAAGGGGGGGAGATGCAGAAAATGCAGGGAAAGGGTGGAAATTCGGGGGTTTCTGGCCGTGATCGGCCAGCAGGAGCTGCGGACCGGGACACGGAAAGCTCCGGGCATGGGAAACTCCGGGATTTAGCACGGAGCAGGATTTTCCCCGGTGCAAGGTCTCTCTGCTCAGAGTAGCGGGGCAGGAGAGGGGAGCAGCGAGCGGAGCCGAGACCCCCACAAACCCCTCCGGGGCCGGTGCGTCCTGCCAGGGCTGCCCGGGACATCCCATCCCAGACACCCCACGGCCGGCACATCCCATCCCGAGCCGGACCCCGCTCCAGCCTTCCCCGCTGCCCCGCCCGGCTCCGCAAAGTTGGGGCAGCCGCGGGAGGAGGCTCCTCACCTGGATGACCGTCTTGAGCGTGGAGGTGTCCACGATGGCCGTGCAGATGAGGGAGTCGGGATCGCGGTCCTTGCCGTAGATCTGCCCCATGGTGAAGATCATGGGGATGGCGAGCAGGAAGGAGGCGATCCAGATGCAGCTGATGAACTTCTTGGTGCGGCTGCGGGACATGATGCTCTTGGCTTTGAAGGGGTGGCAGATGGCCATGTAGCGCTCCACGCTGAGGCTGGCGATGTTGAGCGCCGTGGCATAGGTGCAGGCGTCCCGGAGGAAGTAGTAGCCCTTGCAAACGGCGCCCCCGAAAGCCCAGGGGTGATGGACCCAGATGAAGTTGTAGAGCTCGATGGGCATGCAGAGGAGGAAGATGAGGAGGTCGGAGAAGGCGAGGCTGGCCAGGTGGTAATGCACGGTGCTCTGCAGGTTCTGCAGCGACTTCTTCCTCACCAGCGTGTACGCCGTGATGGAGTTGCCCACGGTGCCCACCAAGAACAGAGCCAGGTAGATGACGGTCACCATCACTTTGGAGTAGATGTCGGTGTTGACGTCCAGGTCCTCCTCGTCGGGCACTTTGGGGAGCAGGTCGGAGCGGTTGCTGGCGTTGGCATAGCTGGGCTGCGGCTGCAGCGGCCCCGCGGGCACGGCCGGCGCCGTGGCGTTCGGGTGCATCCCCGGCAGCGCCGCCCGGAGCCGCCGCTGCCCCCGGCGCCGAACTTGGCCGGTTTTAATGCGGCGGGAGGAGCCGGCGGTCCCGGGGCTGCCGCGCGTGTGCGAGGGCGAGACGCGCCCCCCGCTCGGTGCCGGTGCCAGCGGCCCCGGATCCCGATCCCTCCTCCTTCCCTTCCTGCGGCTCCCCCGCACACGGTGTGTGTGTGTGTGTCTGTGTCTGTGTGTGTGAGTGTGTGTGTGTGCGTGTGTGTGTGTGTGCTGCGCGGAGCCTCCGCGCCGCGCCGGGACAGACACACCGATACAGACACCGGGACAGACACACCGACACACACATCGGGACACCGACACACACACACCGGGACACACACTGGGATACTGACACACACACCGGGACACGGACACACACCGGGACACGGACACACACTCACTGGGACTCGGGCACATCCTGGGACACCGACACACGCACCAGGACACGCACACACTCACCCCGGTACACACAGCACAGGCACACACCCCGGTACAGGTGCACTCACACCGGGACGGACACACACACACACACACACACACACACACTGGGACACACACACACACACTGGGACACACACACTGGGACACACACACACACACACACACACACACTGGGACACACACACACGCACACACACACACACACACTGGGACACACACACACACACACACACGCACGCACACACACACACACGCACACACACACACACAGGGACACACACACACACGCACACACACACACACACTGGGACACACACACACACACACACACACACTGGGACACACACACACGCACACACACACACACTGGGACACACACACGCACACACAACACACACACACACACACGCACACACACACACACACACACACACGCACACACACACACGCACACACACACACACAGGGACACACACACACACGCACACACACACACACTGCCCGCCGCTCCCCGCCGTGCCCCGGCCCGGCTGCCGAGAGGGTTTTGCAGCCCCAGCCCGGTCCCAAAGCCCGGCCCGTGCAGGGGGAGAGGCAGGGAGAAGGTCCCGCTGGCTGCACAGCCGCTCCCCACCGAGACTGCCCCACATCCCTGCCTAAGGCAGGCACGGCTGAAGCTGAGGGCTCTAAGGGGCTGCTGGTGGGGTGAGCCCCCTCTGCATCCCCACAGGGTGAGCAGGGGGATCAGGGCTGCTCTGGCACTCTTGTACATCTGCAGGTGCTGCTGATTCCCAAAGACCCACTCAGCTCCTGCTGCTGCTGGGATAAATGCTTGTAAATGAAGGGGAAACCCATTTACAAATACCTACCTGTGTCCTGACCTGCTAGGGCACCCTCAGATGCTTTGCTTTGGTCCCTATCAGTGGCTTTTCCCTTAATATCTTCATATTTGGGGATGTGGGTTCCTCTATGAGCTTCCCTGTTGCTGGGACAGGGGATGTGGGGGTGTTGTGGCAATGCTGAAGGTGACAAATGGACCCTCCACAGGGAAAGGTTCCCCAAGGATGGATGGTCTGTGATGGGGTTACCCTTTCAGCCACCCTGTAAATCTCTGGTGAGCTGTTTGTCCACTCAGTCGCCTTTGAGAGAAAAAAATCTTTAAAAATGAAGAGAGGAGTTGGAGGAAAATCCCACTCAGGGCGTCACTGGTTTATCCAAAGACAGCCATAATTGTTCCTGCTCATTAGCAGATGCTGAGTACCTTGTTTCCAACATCCACTGGGCTCTGCGTTCACCCAGGCTCTTACCTAGCTGAAAGATATCTAATTCTTCAGTCAATCAAATAATTTCATGAATACAACTGCAAACTTTCCCCAACCATCCACCAAGAGTCAATATTCCCCCCAGTTCTGCTCCTCTTACATCCATCCAGTAAGAGGAATAAGATTAACAGATTTATTAATCAGATTTATTTAGTCATTATTCATATCAATTTGGAGAGAAATATTTTCCGGCACTCATCCCACTCTAGTTTAGAGAATGACTAATAATCTCTTAACACCAATGTTCCTTCCATTCAAGCTCTTCTATTAGGAAATTTCTATTAGTTGAGAGGAGTTTGTCAGAGCTGCTGCTCCCAGCTGGTCTCCCCAGTTGCTCCTGAGCCTTGGACAAGGTCTTGGGGTGGATCAGGAGTATTTATGCTGGAAAAGGAGAGTGGAACATGAGGTGAGGAACAAGGGGTGTACTGAAGGAGACCTGCAGCTGGGATGCAAACCGGGCTGCCCACTGTCCCCAGCCCTCAGCCCCCAGGCTGGGGGAGCTCAGAGTCCCAAGATTTAAGCACAAACCCACAGTTATGGACTAAAGCAGCTCTCCCACAGGTGCAGTGAGTGAGTTCCTTTGGGATCTTCATCTGTAAGGAAGAGTTATTGTCCCTTCTGGTGCTGTAACTTCATTTTGGCCTTGTGAAAAGCTGTTGCTATTCCCACAAACAAGATACCCATCTGCTGGTCTAATTTTGCAGTGTGGATGTGCACGTTTATATCAATAGCTGTCTGCAGAAATGCTCTGGTTTGGGTTTTGCTGCCTCATCTTTGTGCACACAGGAGATGCTCAGGCGCAGCTACAAGGAGAGAATTGCCCCTGAGTGCTCCATGTGCTGCCTCCTCCACTTTCCCTCCATGCCAAGCACTGAATATCAAGACATATAATTTTAAAATAATTCTAATTGCAAACTGAAAGAGCAGGTACCTGGAAATAATGTGGATGTTGATCTACAATCAACACTTCAACGGCTGGTGCAGTTTGTACTGGTGAAATCTCTCCTTTCCTAAAAATGCACGGGAAAGTTGGTGGGGACCACCCCAAAAATGGGCTGAGTGCTCCCATCAGGAAAGGCCTCAGCAGTGCATTTCTATGAGCTAATTAATTTAGGAAATTCTAATAATTTCTTGTCAAACCTGCCTCAGCCACACGAGAAGGATGCTCAGACAGCTCTGTTCCTCACAGGCAGGGTGCTGAGCGCAGAGCTTGTCTCCTGGGATGCAGCCTTGCATTCCCCAGGCAGGGATCGACTTTTCCACCTTTCCACAAAGTTTTTTCCCCGGGCAGGTTCTCCCTTCTGTCCTCACCTGGCTTTTACAGAGCTGGGCTGGTCCAGCCTGAGGCCAGCCCTGGAATGCACACAAAATATCCCCCCCTTTCCCACCCCTTTCCTGTGCAGCACCTCTTCTCTCTCCCTGCTGCCAGCTCATGCCCTGGGGGAATTGTGAATTCCCTTTCTACAAAACGAATGACAAAAACATCTCTTCTCACCTTCACTCCTGCTCCCAGCAAGGTTTTAATCCACATTCCCCTCCCAGCCAAGGCAGAGGCGGGGATGAACCGCATCCTTCTGGTGCTCCAAAGCCTCCACCATAAATCCCCGGTGTTTGTTTCGGAACCAGCCGACCTTTTAGCTAATCTGGGCTCGTTTTAATATATTTTGTGTGTGTGTGTCTGAGGCTTAAAAAAGGAAAAGAATCATGGAAACTAAAAAAAACGCCTGATCTCAAATGTTACTGCAAGGCATTTACTTAAAATCTTGCAGGAAAATGTCACCCAAAGACCTCATCTATTTAAACTGCCTGGACTTCAAGCCGAGGGTCCCACTGTGGCTTAGATGTGAAGCCTCGCTCCCCTTTAATGGAGAGTCAAGTATTTTTCATCTTTTCTTTTTCCAGGTGATTCCAGTCCCAAGGAATTTTTCATGTTACTCTTATTCCTGCCTGATGAAATTGGCCAGGATTTTTCTGCATGGGAAGCAGCAAAGGGAAAGCTCTGCAAGAGGTTGGTGCTAAGAGACAGCATCAACCTTTTCCCCATGGAGCAGCCAGCCACAAACCCCTGTTGGAGCAGGTTTGTGAGGCAGGGGATGCTGGACTGATGGAAGCCTTTAAAATCCCTTCCCAGTGGGCTCACTATAGACAGGCTCTCCCCTAAAAGTCAGGAGTGTCTAAGATGAGTTGGGAAGGTAAAATCCTGGAGTGTACAGGGGTTTTTTGGGGCATGCTGTGCCTGAAAAGCGAGGAAGTGAGGGAGAAAGGGGTGGTAGAAAAAGAGACATTGATCAGCGTTGTTGGTGGCAATATTGACTGGATCATTACTTACAGGCACTCCTACACTCAACTTATTGCAAAATAAAGTGTTGGTTTGGCTGAGCAATAAACAATATTTACTGCCTTTGGCTGAGCTGTTTCAGAAGGGTGTTTTAAATCAAACCAGTTGATACACAGGAAATGTATTGACTCTGGTTTTCATGGCAGATTCACCCGCTGAGGCTCTGCAGGGTGAGCACGTCGGTGTGTGGGTTGGCAGGGTGGACAGACATGCCCAGAGCAGAGCAATGATCACACACCACAGCATGTGTGTTCTTGGGCAGCTTCAAAACAGAAAAAGGCAGCCCAAAACCCAGGACATGCTGTGGTGTGTGTGGTGCTATTGGAAAGAAAATCAGTCTGAAGAAGGATCAGTCTCTGGGAAGGAAGAATTGGGAAATAAGGTGTCAAGGCAACTTTTACAGGTCCTGTGCTCTGTGTGTTACATGGTCAAATTCAGTCTTTCATTGAGGCAAAACCCCTTCTAAGATAATGAATGTACTGGCTGACAGACCTGGTAGTATTTGTCTCAAACATCAGAGAGTGATGCATTAACTGGACACACACAGGAGATACCAACTGCTTTAGCTTGGAGATAAAGGAGTTTGGGGTCCCTTGGTCTGGCACTGCAACAAGCCCAAATCTGATTTCTCACAGCAATAAATGCATTTTGTCTTTATATATGCAGTACAAGTGCTCACCACACAGAAGTCATGCAGCACTCAGGGTTTCTCTTTGCAAATCCTGGGGTTTATTCCAAGAACAAATACCAAAAAAAGGGACAGTGGATCTAAATGGAAACTTTGCACTCACTGTAGCTGTGACCCTGCATTGTAGCCCAAGCAGGCTCATGCAGATGGGCTGTTCTGGGTTCCCCAGGGTTTAATCTGATTTTGCAGCAGATTCCAGCTG